AAACGGAGACAGAATCTGAAGCAGGCTCCAGCCTCTGAACTGTCAGCACAGAGCCTGACACGGGTCTCGAACCCACAAACTGCGAGATCATGACCTGAGCCGAAGTGGGACGCTTTACCCACTGAGCAACCCAGGCACCCCTGGATTTTTTAATATGCCCTTAAGAGTACAGAGCATCCATTGATTGCCTGGGACGTCACTCCAGAGTGCAAGTTTTACATGATCAGGAACTTCCTTGTGCTTGTGCCCCATCCCAGTTTGCAGAACAGACCCCTTCACCAAGTTTTCCAAAACGTTCATGAAAGAAAGAAACAAGAGGAGAGGGAGACTGGTTGATTCGTCCAACGGCTTTCTAGAGCCTTGGGATAAGAAGCCTCACCTAGATCTAAGCCCCTCCCACCACGTACCAGCCCAGCGTGGCCCAAACCTGCCGACAGGACTAGAAGCACCTGGGGAACTTGCAAAGCCCAGGTTGCAGGAATGGAGGGCGTGTGGTCCCCAGAAGCGGACGAAAGTCTACCCAGGACTGTATTTAAACAAGGCTCAAAGCGCAAGAGAGACACTAAAGCCTGAATGGTCCGGAGGGATGCACCTCTTGAGAAGAGTCAGAGAATCCCCAGAGCAAGTTCCCAGGGTGAGCCGCAGGGGAGGGCTGGGGCAGCGGGTGCTGGAGGCCGAGGGCTGGAGCCCACCCGGGTGCGTGCCAGACTGGGAACCCCGGGTTGGGGGTGGGGGGAAGGGGTTCCATTCCCAGCCCCAGGGGTGGGGATACTCGGAGACCCCGAAGCTGGGTTTGCATCCTGCCTTCTCCCCTGGCCACCGATGAATGGGGGAGACTGTCTCCACTGTGGGGACCTGCTTGCCCTATTACCGTGTGTGCTCGGAGGGCATCTGCACCACCCCAGCTGGAACCCCCGTTCATCTCCACTCATTGTTTGCCTGTGGCTGAACTTCCCCCAAAATGGAACCACAACATGTGAGCGTGTGTGCGTGCGCGCGCGTGTGAGACTTCTTCCGTGCACGACTTCACTGCTGAGATCCATTCATGTTCAAGTGAGCACAGTATTTAACATCTTTTAAAAAGAGACTTCGGTAGGGGCACCTTTCTGGCTCAGTCAGTCGAGCATGTGACTCGTGGATCTCACGGTCCTGAGGGGGAGCCCCATGTTGGACGTAGAGTTTAAGAAAAAATTAAGGGGCGCCTGGGTGGCTCAGTTGGTTGAGCGTCCAGAGCCTGGAGCCTGCTTTGGATTCTGTGTCTCCCCCTCTCTCTTCCCCTCCCATGCTCGTGCTCTGTCTCTCTCTGTCTCTCTCTGTCTCAAAATTAAATATTAAGAAAAAAGGCTTTTTT